TACATTATTGTTCTTATTGTTTAATTCATTGTTATCTGATTAAAACTGGATTTAACAATATAGTTATATATAAAACAAACATTCCATTAAACAATAAATAAAATTTATAATATGTAGATAACTATTAAAAAGTTGAATACATAACCATTTAATTGATTAAAAGTTAATATATAACACTTAGAAGCTCTAAAAAAATTAACACTTCTAAAAATTACATAAATCTCAAAATTGAAGAACCAAACTTGTAATCATGAAAAATAGAGAAAAAAAATGGTGTAAATGAATAGTGTTACACCAAATTTGGCGTCTTATTATTCATTACACCAAATTTGGTGTCCTATTATCATTACACCAAATTCGGTATCTTACTATTCTTGTACCAAAGTTGGTATCTTACTATTCATTACACCAAATTTGGTGTAAGAAATGGTCTTCCCATTGGGTAGATTTGGTATAACAAGTAATTGTTTGGTGTGAAATTTAGTGTGCCAATTAGAGATGCCTTTAGCACAAGATGAGCCGACCGTTCTAATCGCTGCAATTAGGCCTTGTTTGTTTTATAAAAAGTTCTTATCAGCCTCTTATGTCTAATTCGGTAAAAGGTAGAACATTCAGACTGTTTATTTTTTCCAATTTTTCAGAGACAATTATGTCTTACCGTCCTCTTTTCTGGTAAGAGGTAAACCAACCCCTTGTTTGCCTCTTATTGTTCTCCAGACCCTCAGCAGTTGGCGTTTCTCAATCACTCCTCTCTCAATTAATTAACCTTAATCGATCCTTTCACTTATAGTTGATCCTTATCCAATTGATCCTTTCTCTATATCGATCCTTACCCCATCGATCCTTACCCCTCACAAGTGGATCCTCACCTCTCTCAATCGATTAACCTAAATCGGTCAATGATCAATCGATCCCATGTTGTTGATCTCAATCGATATTAATTGATACCATCGCTCTATCATCGTTCTCCACCAAGTATTTGTAGATTGAAAAAGAAATGTCAGCGTTCCTCACCCAGGTATTTGTTTCTATTAAGTTATATGTTGTCACTAATTTCATGACATGATTGTCATGAACCGTCATGAATTTGTAGATACCCTCTTTCACTAAATTTGGAGTTAGGGCTGCAATCAAATGTCAAATCGGATAGTTTTGTGCTCCTAATGGTTTTGAAGTGTCATGAATTGCTAGTTATAATTTAGATGTAAATTTTGTAATGATGACGAATAAACAGATAAAATTGTATAAATGTATAGATTCAACATTATATTTTGAAGGGTGAAATAGACAATTACACAAATTCAAACATCTATCAGTTTACAAAAACAGTCTTATTGATTCTGCTTTCAGACTTCAGCATCACCTCTTATCAAGCAGAAATGAAATAAGACTTCAGACATCAACACCTCTTAAAAAACAAACACCACCTTAGAGTTTACTATCAATTGTGAAAAGAATAAGCTTAATATGCTTGTCGTCTCAACAATACCTTACTGATTCAAGGAGGTGTAATAGGGAGGGTTTCTTATAAATTATATCAATTAGCTGGGCTTCATATCTCAGGATAGATGATGGTCTACTTATTAACTAAAGATCCTTGTCTATTTGATTATCTTGAGATATTCCACAAGTAACACGGTCCTGTTCTTTTGATCTAAATATAGAACTCTAAAAATTTACCTAAAATATTGAAAAAAAGAAAGAAATGAACATTAGAAATATGCATATGAAATGCAGAGTGTTTGACCTCAAAATAGAAATGTAAAAGTGACCGAGACATAAAGAATTTTTGATACCTGTACATACAATGCATCTGAGCAATCTCTTTTGCTTTTATCCTCACTATTTTCCACAAGCCAGTTTCCCCATTCATTTACCTGCCACACCAATATGATTTCAACCCATTTGCATGCCCTTGATACAGTAAATCGAAGGCAAGATGCATTAAAACACAATAAAGTTTAGTTTAGTTCCTATTTAGTGTAACAAATAATTGTTTTTTCTCGATCAATCAACATCATTTCCTAAACTTGTACCCATTTCTTCCTGGTCTTGTAACATTTGATGACTTGGAGACATATTCATGAAATATTTACAAAATATTTAGAAAAGAGTAAACTTTGCATTAAAATCATCAAATGTTACATTAAATAGAAAATTTTAAACCTTTTTGACACTTCATCATGTAAACTTGAAAATTTTGGAACTTTGTTAAACTTCCTATCACTCTAGATAGGAACTAATACGAACATCATTGCATGTTGCCCGAAAACCAATTCTATAAACAGAAATTGTCGATACATTACCACATGAACAGCTGAGCATCTCACGCATTCCTCGGTATCAAACAACAGCTCAACAGCACGCAAGTAGCATCCTTCAACCATAAGATGATCGTTAACAACAATCCATTTGCAGAAATCAATCAACCCATCCAAAGCAGCCTTCCTCACGTAAGGATACGGGTCCTTAGTGAACCCTAGCAATACCGTGAGCAGAACTGACGGTCGGACTCTAAATTTCTCCGCATCCATTAACAGCCTTTGACGCACAGGCACGCACGGACCGAAGCAGAGCGATAAAAACAATCCCTCTGAAAACGCAGGACCCAAGTCGGAAGCAGAAGCAGGAGCGATGGAAACAAGGGTAGAGAGTGCAAGTCCGGCGGCACGTGGGGGAATGCTGGGGCAGTGAAGGCAGAGCGAGCGGAGTATGGTGGTGACGGTTGGGGAGAAATGGCGGTGGACAATGGAGATTTCACAAAGGAGTGTGATGAAATTGAGAAGGTCGAATTTGGGGTTTATTGTAGCTGTTGATAGAGTTTCTAAGATTTGGAGGATGGAGGAGATGGTTTGATCGGAGGTTGAGGGGTTTAAGATGAGAGATCTTGCCATAGAGAAGGGTTTTAAAGATATCTTTGTCTGAATTCTGAAAATTTGTTCTAAACTCGATAGAAGCTTTTGCTCCATGGCTATGGAGTCTAGGTTGGTCACGAAAGCACTGCAAACAAAGTTTAAAGTTTTCTTTTTTCTGGAGCTTTAGGCGGTAAACTGTATTTTTCTCAGACGTTTCATCGAACACCTTTCAGGCACTCCACAAATCACCATATTTATGTACATCAGCTTAATGCTTTGCCGCCGAGACAAGAACAGAGCTAGGGGGTCGAGACCAGAAGGGCAGAAGAGAGGGAGAACGATAGGTTCAAATTCAATCTTCCAGATTGGAGCAGTAGTGATTTCTTCAAAGGGTTAAATTTTCTTTTAGGCCCAATTGAAACCGTGATTTTAGAACTTGTACCCGGTGTCGAACCCGATACATTTTCATTTCATCTATTAAAGTAAACTACAACTTGGTTTCGTCAGGGTGTATAAAAAACCGATAATTCATGAGAACTGTCCTAACATGTTAAACTGTCAATTCATGAGACTCGTTTAATCCAATCCGCTAACAATTCAATTAAACTTAACCTATCAAACCGTCAATTAAAATGATTGAAATTGGGTTAGGTCTAGTTCAACTCATCCAACCCGTGGCTAATATGTAACTGTTATAAAATGATATATATATATATAAAAAACTAGTTTATTTAGAAAAAATGTATTTATAATATATATATATATATATATAAGTATATATCATGGGTTGGGTTCCAGTGAGAAATAAGTTACGGTGAAATGTGTAAGAAAGGATATGAACCATTTGATCAATCTTAATTGAAGATCACACTAATGAGATGCAACCGGATCAATTCTCGTAAGAAGCACAATTAATGGATGGGTGTAAGACTAAAAGTGATAAAGGGTTCAAATATCTTTTTACGTTATTGTTGATCCTCTCTCTCAGTGATTTGATGATAATCCTTTTTTCCTTTCACGTTGTATTTATGTTTCTGTATTTTCAGTTCCAGCGATCATCACTGAGTATGTTCAGTGATCGCTGAAGAACTTGCTTTATAAATTCATCAGAGACAACAATACTTCAAGAAGAAAACACTCACACCAAATAACCTTTAGCGAACGTCGAAGACTGAAACTAAAGATAGACTGGCGAGTACGTGATCTGAAGCGGTATTCAGTGATTTCAAACATGTCTACATACGTGTGAAGACTGCTTTAGCTTCAGCGAATGATGATGAGACCTCTAGGTCATCCCAGCATTCAGCGATCAAAAGAAGCTTGCTTAGCACGATAGTTGTTGTCTTGTCCTTATGCACACAAAGGACAAACYCATACYCTTGCAAAAGTTAGTACGGTACGGAGCCGATTAGTCGACTCTTTGTCCACCAACTTTAGGCAAGGATGTTTGCTCAAGAATAATGCTTTTGTACTATTCACTGTAGCAAAGGACTAGCCTTCCTTTTAAGGCTTGACACGCACTCTAAACCTACCATATTGCATTAAATGTTCATTTAATGCACTGGTTATAAATAGAAGTGTTTCTTCTATTTGCAGAGTGCGCGCATCACTCTTCAACCTAATTCTTACTTCAAGCATCCTCTAGCTTAAGTAAAGGATCTATCATATAGCATTCTCTTTTCTGTGTTTGCTATAGCTTCGTGTGTAACCAAAGATTGTTTAGATAGGTTTTTCTTTACCTTATCTTTCCGCAAACAGTCTTGTAAAATCTGTATTGATTTTCTCTATCAATATATATTTTAAATTTGAAAACATTGTGTTTGTATTTATCGCCCCGCTTCTACAAACTGTTTCTTATCTTGTAGACCCTTTCGGGATCAACAGTTATCACTGAAACTCTTTTCTCACATGATTTTTCGCCTATATATCCTTTTACTAAACAACTCTTTATGGCGTCAAGGTTTGGGTTTCCTGTCACGTTAACCCTTGTGGCTCCACTCTAAGGCTTCCATTGTAACGCATTATGGTATGTTACAATGGTTATTACGCGTTATAATGTGTTATGTTATAAGATGTGATTTTTTAATATATTACTTGAGGGGTAAATGATAATTATGTATAACACATAATACTTAAATAAACATATATAAAAAAATCAAGAAAGTAGTAGTTGAGGTCCAAGAGATTTAATCCTGATTTTGCACCTTGACATCATTTTTATAAGTTTTATATATTTGGTATCAATGATTCTTCTTTCTTTTTTAATTATACATATTTGGAGTCGGAGAGGTCCAACACAGTTGTACTTGATTGATGGACGGTTTGGGAAATCGGTTATTCAAACTTTTGAATTACTTGAGTTTATAACTTAAGAATTTAATTATATATTTGGATGATTGTAATAATTAATAACTTTTTTGAAAAGCGGATTTTTAGTTTATTTTAAGAAGATTGATGAAAACCGTACTATGAGCGTGATATGAATAACCAAGAGGGAAAGTTAGAATACATTAAAAATAATTGAAATGAAATTTTATTTTCTTTATGTTTGCAATCCGCTTCACCTCATTTAAACAATGCAAACAAAAAGAATAAGAGGTTAATCAGTTTAAAAGGTAACATGTTATCCATTGTTATAATAAATACATGTTTTAATAAAAAAATAATTTAATAGTATATCATTATAATCTATACTATATTATAAAAAAAGAGTTTCAGTTATATTGAAACTTTTAAGAGGTACAATTTATTTAATTTACATTATGTCTCTTACTTTTTAAATTTTTATTTTACATTATTATCATATTAACATAAATAATTGTATATGAACTAAAATGCATTGAAAAATACATTTATTTTTAAAAAAAATTATATTATTATAATTGTCTCGTTACTACTTTCAAAATGAGCTCAATATTAAATATTTTTTTAATTTAATCTTATTATTAAATACAATAAATACGTAGTGGATTATTATATTTTATACCTTAAAGTTATTATTAGTTTGTTCTACATCCTTTATTTTTTTAATTTTGTTTTGCACCCCTGATATACAAATTTAAAATTGCACAACCCACAACCTTGACGATCTCAAGATAATATTAAAAATTAAATAAATTTTTATGTTTAAATAATCTTATAAGTACTTATTTAATTTACTTTATGTTTTTTTCTTTTTATTTGATATCATTATCATATTAACATGAACAATCATATATGAACTAAAATATATTAAAAAGTATATTTCTTTTTTTTTACAAATTATATCATTATAATTGTTTCACCTACTTTCAAAATAAGTTCAATATTGAATATTTTAAATTTAATCATATTATAAAATATCATAAATAAGCATGCTCAATGGTTACTGATAAGCATCAACTTATTTGATGTTTTTACATATTTTTTATTTTATTTATCTATTTTAGTTTCCAAAAATTTTACAAATTTAGTCTTTTTATTTTATTTTTGCATCTTTTTATATTAAAGTTGAATTGATGTGATAAACCTGTTTACTTCTTGGCTATATTGCTAATTTTGGGAAAAAGTTGCGGAGATAGGTGATTTAGCAGAAGTATGCTACGAATGTGCTGCAGGATGATTCCAGGAGTATTTTGGATAATGGTACGGAAGATCTTTTGATGTTTTATCCACCTTTTTGGCAGCCTGCAGATTTAACGATGTCATAGTATAACGATAAAATATTTTCTTTGTACTATCTTTTGGATAATATGACTTTATCTTTTGGGTAATGTAAAAAGTTGGATAATAGCTTTATCTTTTGGTTCTTATGTCCCTTTTTCCTACTATATAAAGGATGAGATACTTGACATTTTGAAGCAAACAATTTTTAAGAAGTTAACTTGGTTATGAAAGTGTAGCGTGGAAGTATCTTTACATTCTCCTTAAATTCAAGAAGTCTCTTCAATCTTTATAATTCTTTTTAGCATTTATTTCTTCTACTTTATTTTCTTTTATTCTACTTTACTTCCTATTAATATGTTTTATTATTCATGCAATTAATTTTATTATTTCAAGTATGGTAGGCTAAAAATAGCTTATATGCTGGGTGATATTAAGAGAAACACCAATTCCTTTTATAAAAAATTAAATAATAAGTCTTTTCAACTATGTCATTCAAGTTTATATTGCAAAAATATCATTAATCGACAAGTTGATCACTTGTTTAAAAGTGTTAAAGTGTGTTGGATTTAGAGATAAACCAACAAGCACACATCAATTTGAATGATATGGAAGTAGGTGACAGATAGTTACTTAGAATCAAGGAGACTCGTTTTCACTTTATTTTGCTTATATAAGGAATAGTTTGAGCCAATATCGAAACTCCAGCCTTGCATAGATATATGAATGCTTAATCTATGATTATGCGTCATTCTACATCTCGAGAAAGTACCTTAAAGAAACTATTAGTTGTAACGACAATTTATTTATAAAACATGTTGTCTACTTAAAAATCGGTTGAGTATCTTAACAAATCCCTACACCCTAAACTCTCTTTTATTACTTGTTCAAAACAGTAGTGTTAAACCAATTCACCACAAATATTTCTTCGAACTCACCATCTGAAATCTTATCTTTACTTATACTTTTAATGAACTTTTATTTCTTTCCATGTGAACGATATTCGGTATTTTTACCACCTTATTACTTGTAAAAGATGATAGTGGATTGATAATTGTATAATTGCACTAATCTCCATTTACTAATAATCCGAGAGATTTATTTTATATAATTCTCGTAACAGTTACTTGTTGAATTTCAAGAGATATCCATTTTTATGTATGATGTACATGTGTTTTAGCTGTACAACATCCTATGAAATTTCACTGTCTCAAGAAGATAATATTAAAACTCAAGTACTTTTAAATTTTAAATCACACTTATACTTATAATTAGCATTTACTTTAGTTTACATCCATTATTTTTTTCATTTTATACTCTATTGACATAAATAATCGTATATTAAGTAAAATATATTAAATATATGTTTTTTTTTAAATTATACCATTATAATCGTCTCGTCAATATTTTTAAAACAAACCCAATATTGAATATTTTTAAATTTAATCATATTATTATATATCATAAATAGGTAGTAATTATTTTTAAAACTATGTATTTAATTTATTTTATATCTATTACTTTTTCATTTTTCACTATGTATTAAAATAAATAATCATCTATACTAGCTATATTATATTATAAAATAACACTTTCAGTTATATTGTATTTTAAAAGGTACACATTTTATTGTTTTATGTACAACTATTCGAAACTGATTGAAAACGCTCTATACACAACTATTTGAAACTGTCTAAAAACCCCAGTCGG